GTGCTTTCTTTCTACACAAGGTAACAACTGTGTCAGTCTTGACTTGTTTTGAACTGCTTACCACTGAGATGGGCTTCAGGAGGTTGTTCACAATCATGGAGTCATTCTTCCCATTTAGATTCTTTACCAAAAGATCAAATGACCTCTCTGTGACATGCCCCTGCACATTCTGTACAGGAACTGGATGAACTGCAGTTAAGGTAATGTAGATTTTCACCAACTTACCTGACTGATCCCATCCATCGTTACTGATCTTCACTGTGTATCCTGTTGTGATGGGAGGAACCACAGCCACTGGTTTTTCATTGTCAAAAAGTTCTGGTTTGTTCTGTGATTCTCATTGGGTCTTATTCTTTATTTCTGTTTCAATCTTGGACTTTTCAGCTGACAGGGTTTCACGTAAGCTCTTCCTAGTAGCCTTTTCCAGTAATGCCTTTATCTCTTCTAGATCATCCTGTAACTCCTCCAGAGCCGAAGCCACGGTCAGGCCGGCTTTGACTTCAAGCCCGAGCTGCAGGCCAGCACGCAATGACAGGATGGGCCATTCTCCCCGTGGGCATGGACCTCAGTTGCGCTAGCCAGTGGCCGGCCAGCCCCTGTGCAAGCGCTTGACCTAAGCTAGACCCCAGCCCGCCGTCCGTACGCAGACACTCTGGAACCTTTGCGAGGTCACCCCCCTCTTTACTCAATTTTAAGCCCAAATAATACTCCATTGTCTGGATTTACCACATTTTTTCTGGGGGCTGGTGGGGGGGACTGGAGATTGATCTCAGGCCCTGGCACTTGGCAGGAATGCACTTATCCTAGTGATCCGCCTCCCTGGCTCCTAATTATTTTAGCCATGTATGCCTTGATGGAACATTTGGATTGTTTCCTCCTTTTGTCTGATATGAACAGTGGTGCTAAGAGCATTTATCTGCAAGCATCCTTTTGAGCCTGCTTTCAAATATTTTGAGTATTGGTAGACCTAAGTTTGATCATTTGAGAAAGGGCAGGCTGTTGTCCAAAGTAGTGCCACAGTTTTACATTTCTACCAGCAGTGTTGGAAGGTGACTAGTCCCTTTGTCGTCAAATGATTTCTGCAGGTGAAGCATTCTAGACTGATCTTTCTTTTAACTTTCAACAGCTAGAAATGTTGTTTAATTGTCTTTTGACAAGTATAGGTTTATTTTATTGTGGCAAAATACGCAAATTTTACCTTTGTTTAGGTGTGCAGTTCTGTGGCTTTAAGGACATTGCCTTTGTGGAACCATGTCTACTATTCTCGTTCAGGACTTTTTCACTTTGGAATATTGTATAATTTGTATAGTTTTTTGAAAGCCACTGTGTCAGGTATAGATATAGATGTTTGATGTGGTCTTTCTTTTGGTATTTTCTCTATGTTGTTGGTAGTCATTTGGCTACAGTGCACTTAACCATTTTTTATTCTGTTGTAATTACTCATTTTTAATAAATTTTATTGAGAAACAAACGGGAATAAGATAGTTTCAAAACGGAATAGTAGGACCGTTTCAATAATTAGTACATTGCATATTGTTGTCTTTGTGGTGGGTATTCCTAGTACAAGAGGCAGACATGATATCCTGGCCAAAGTATATTAGTGTAAGTCTTTCTT